CTTGTCGTTGTTTCTTTCTCCACTCGGAGTTCAAAGGAACTTCCTTTAATACCGAATTTCGAGTGTATCGAAACAGTCATAAAAACAGTATATTATAGTAATAGTTCCATAGTGCTGTGGTTATGGAGGTGAAGGCCAGAGCTCCGGGGAAAATCATTCTATCCGGCGAGCACGCCGTCGTCCACGGATCCACCGCCGTCGCCGCCTCCATCGACCTCTACACCTACGTCACTCTTCGATTTCCCACTCCGTCTGGTACTCCTCCAATTCTCTCTCTCTCTCTCTAACTTTCTCTCTCCAAATCTCGTTATGAAAATTTGTATTTGGGTGAGTATTCTTGAGGAGCTGAATTTAGGAATACGGAAGTTTCGCGATTTGGATTGGAGTGTCAGTAATGCAAGATTCGGTTTTCTTGAGCTTCTTTGTTGTTATGATCTAAGTTTCAATTCTCTCTCTCGTTTCTTTATTGGGACAAACGGAATGGGTATGAGAGAGGCATGATTTCGCAGGTTTTTGAGCAGAATTGGGTTTGTTGAGTGTTTTGTGATTTTGTGAAGGTCGATGCTGAAAGATTTACAGCTTGCAAATTGTCAAAAAAGGGCAAAAATTCAAATTTGGATTTTTTTTTTTTGGATTTTGATTGAGGAGGGGGTATTTTTGTTTTAAATGCAGAATTTAATGGCTTTTTTTTTTTTTTTTTTCGGTTTTTATATGATCTTATGTTTTTGTCCCTTTGGTGTTCTTGTAGTAGTTTGGAAAGATAACATTTTCTGATTGGTTGGCTTCTATTTTTAATGGACGAGGAGTTATATGTTTCATTACAGATTGCACTTGTGCAGAGGAAAAAATAATAATAATAACCGTTTAGTGGTCATGTGGTTATTGTAAATACTCGGATAAAATACCCCTTTGTTTTATTATTTTATGGCCCATTGAATATTGTGTTGAATTCGGAAGTCAAAAGTTAGGGAAGTTAGTTTAGGAAAGTATTTTAGGAATAAAAGGAGAGATCGGTTGTGATCTTTTCTCATAATTTTGTTTCCTGTTTTTTAGGAGAGAATCAAGCTAGTTAGTTTTTCCCTTATTAGTCATTTGTGTATATATATGCTATTGTAGGGTTACAGAAGATTAATAATAGAAGTTCAGAAATTCTTCATGGTATCAGAGCCAGTTTTCTGAACCCTAATCCCTTCCGGCCATATCTCTCTCTGGTCATCTCTCATTCCGGCCATCTCTCTCTGGCCATCTCTTATTCCGGCCACCTCTCTCTGGCCATCTCTTATTCCGGCCACCTCTTGCCAAGTTTTCTGGCCACCTCTTCGTTGTTCTCAGGCCAATTATCTCCGGTTTCTCTTATATATTTCCAGCATCCATATTCAGTCTTTCCTCTCATCTTTTCCGCAATATTTGAGACATGACAAAATACGGAATGGCATCATCACAAACATCCAGTGTCACGACCCCAGAATCAGGAGGAAGATCAGAGATTCCAAACCTTGGTGGCAGCGAATCTTCTCCTATTCTCATCACAGGACACAAATTAAATGGCCATAATTACTTACAGTGGTCACAATCTGTGTTGCTGTTCATCTGTGGCAAGGGAAAAGATGAATATCTCACAGGAGAAGCAGCCATGCCAGAGACTACTGATTCGGGTTTCAAGAAGTGGAAGATAGAAAATAGTATGATCATGTCATGGCTTATCAATTCCATGAACAATGACATAGGTGAAAATTTCTTGCTGTTTGGAACTGCAAAAGAAATATGGGATGCAGCCAAAGAAACTTACTCCAGTTCTGAAAATACTTCAGAACTATTTCAGGTAGAATCAGCCCTTCATGACTTCCGCCAAGGAGAGCAGTCCGTCACTCAGTATTACAGCACACTCATACGGTATTGGCAGCAACTTGACTTATTCGAGACTCACTCATGGAAATGTCCGGACGACGCAGCAACGTACAGGCAGGTTGTGGAACAAAAAAGGCTGTTCAAGTTTTTCCTAGGACTTAACAGGGAGTTGGATGATGTTCGGGGTCGAATCATGGGCACTAAACCACTGCCCAGTCTCAGGGAGGCCTTCTCCGAGGTTAGGCGTGAAGAAAGTAGAAAGAAAGTGATGATGGGATCTAAGGAACAACATGCCTCACCGTTAGATGCCTCTGCCCTTGCTATTCGGTCATTCAACAATAATGGCGGAGATCGTCAAAAACGGGAAAGGCCTTGGTGTGATTACTGTAAGAAACTAGGCCATTACAAGGAGGCTTGCTGAAAAAAGAAAAAGAGTCAAAAAATTGAAAAAGTGAAAAATATGGGAGAAGAAAAAAAAAGAACAAAATATAGAAAAAAGGAAAAGAAAGAGAAAGGAAAAATGCAAAAAAGGAGAAATCGTTGGATAACTATAAAAAGTACAGCTTTTACTACTCATTTTGCACAAAAATGGTCTTAGTTCTTAATATTCTAATTTATTTTGTTGTAGTTTAAATTAATTTAATTTAATTTTTATTTAATTTAACGTGATTTTATTTTATTTTAATGTATCTTTATTTATTTTTATTTTTATTTTTATCTAAGTAGTACAGGAAATTATGTTCAGAATGGAGTTAATGGACAAAATTAGGCCACAAATCAATTCAAAAAAATAAATATAATTATAAAACCTGAACTGATTTAAGGCCATCCTATCAAGATATTCAACACTTGTGATGCGCACGTGTATTGCATGCCCAGACAAGAGCGCTTGTACCTAAGGCAAGGTCAGGCTTGCAGCCAATGAACGCCCGTGGATTCGCTGCGTCGTACTTTGTGTGAGCTCGTTTTTACATCCAATGACACACTAAAACGTGTCCAGAAAATTAAGGAGCAAACCACAGCACGCCACGAGGATTCCAATAAACAAGCAATCCAATTAAATGCGGCCACGTAGGGGTAAAAATTGGCCGAGGGTGCTACAACGTTTGGCCCGAGCCGCAATGGTCAGGGTGGCTAAAATTGAAGCCGAGATACCCTGTCAAGCCACCAAAACCAAAGTAGTTTGGCCTATTCGGGTCGGGCCGAGTGGCAATTTCAGTGAAAGAGTAAACCATGTAATTTTTTTCTCATCTCCCTTCCCATTCTTTTGCTGCGCACTAAGGATTTGTGCGATTCTTTTTGCAACGAAACGTTTTTTTTTTATCAGTGTAAAATAACCTATTCTCTCTTAGTAGGTCGGTAAGGATTCAAGAAAAAGTAAAGGAAAATTTTTGGTGAACAGAATAATTATCCTACATAATTTTTAATAGTCATATCTTTATCAAAATTCATTAATCTTTACTTTTATGGTGCCCAATAAGTTGATACCAAAAATGCTACTCAAATGGTACTATCTTTATATTTATGCTACCTAATGGAGTAAGCTTAACATTTATGTCACTTTAATCATCAGTAAATATTATGATAGTACATTTTCAATATCCTATTGAGTTATTTTTTTCCTTCTCGACAAAGATGATTTAGGATCTTCACAACTGACACTTCGAGCGGAGAGTATTCTGATAGAGTAACGACTTTTTAAATATAAAAGATGGTGAAAGACTAGATGTCAAAATTTAAACTTACTGAATATTAGTGGCGGACTATGTAATTTTCTCTTTGTGTTTTTAAATATTCCCATTTGACACCTATACCTAAAACAAAATTCTCCAAACTAAAAACCTGTTCTTCACAATTATAAAGAAATTAAGCCAAAATAAGATAGGGGAAAAAGGAGGAGGAAGAGTTGAAGTTAGGCTGAGTTGAGTTGAAGTTGTAAACTTTTTTTATAGATATTTTCAAGTGAATTTAAGTAGCATAGATGTTTCAATTGATACTATTTGTGGTACAAATATAAAGGTATCAGTTGAATGACGTTTCTAGATTTATCTCTCCTCCAAACTTCACATGAACAGTCAATCATGTTACAAAAGAAATTCATCAAAAATAAAAATAAAAGACTAAAAAAGAAGTGAGTTTCTCTAATAGGATTAAAAAAAATAAATTACTGGTAATTTTTTTTATTTTTTTTATTTTCAACCTTTAAATATGTATCAAAATTATCTATTCTGAATGGTAAGTGTGTTGTGTAGCCTAATCAAAAGAAAAAAAGGAAAAAAAAAACGGTTGAGCGACGCAGTGCTGAGAATCAAGCATCACGACACTGGAATCTACAACGTGTAGAATCAGGGTAGAGAACGGAGCAGCGTTGGTGCCTCGGCGCACACCAGCTATTTTGGGCATATTTTTCACATTTTCTTGTAGGCTTATGAATACCTATTATTAGGGTTTTATTGTGACGATTTTTTGAGAGAAAAGTGAGAGTGAAAGGCTGAAACACAATTGTAATTGAGAGAGAAACACGAGTGAGTGATTGAGTGATTCTTTTGTAATCTTTATCATATATAGTAGAAGTTTACGGCGGCAGAAATAAGACGTAGTCATAATTTAGTGAATTTGTATTTCAGTATAATTGTGCTTTTATTTTCTTTTCACTATTTTCGTTTTCGGATTAGATTTCACTAAATTTCTCAACACTTTATATTTTTTTTAATTTAATGTAATTTTAATCAAATTTAACAGTTAAGAATGGACAGTAGCGCGATATCTTACCTAAAAAAGTTCTTAAAAAGAAAAGGTGAAAGGGAGAGCAAGAGAGAGACATGGAGAGTTGTAGCTGTGTTTTGAGGAACCAACTACTTACGGCGCGCGAAAGTGGGGAGCACGCGCGCGTGAGGAAAGCGAGAAGAGGAAAACCAAAACAAGGAATCTAACTCACATTTTTATATTTTTGTATAGCAATGGATCATTGTCCGCGTTCTGAGTCAGATTGATTTTATAACTCGCTGCCTGCCCAACCAATCATGACCTTTCCCACGACAATAAAAACGTGACAGCCACCCAATTCGTTCCGAAACGTTTCGAAACGCATCAATTCGATGTTGAATCTTTCAACAAAACAACAGTCTTCTTGTCGTTGTTTCTTTCTCCACTCGGAGTTGAAAGGAACTTCCTTTAATACCGAATTTCGAGTGTATCGAAACAGTCATAAAAACAGTATATTATAGTAATAGTTCCATAGTGCTGTGGTTATGGAGGTGAAGGCCAGAGCTCCGGGGAAAATCATTCTATCCGGCGAGCACGCCGTCGTCCACGGATCCACCGCCGTCGCCGCCTCCATCGACCTCTACACCTACGTCACTCTTCGATTTCCCACTCCGTCTGGTACTCCTCCAATTCTCTCTCTCTCTCTAACTTTCTCTCTCCAAATCTCGTTATGAAAATTTGTATTTGGGTGAGTATTCTTGAGGAGCTGAATTTAGGAATACGGAAGTTTCGCGATTTGGATTGGAGTGTCAGTAATGCAAGATTCGGTTTTCTTGAGCTTCTTTGTTGTTATGATCTAAGTTTCAATTCTCTCTCTCGTTTCTTTATTGGGACAAACGGAATGGGTATGAGAGAGGCATGATTTCGCAGGTTTTTGAGCAGAATTGGGTTTGTTGAGTGTTTTGTGATTTTGTGAAGGTCGATGCTGAAAGATTTACAGCTTGCAAATTGTCAAAAAAGGGCAAAAATTCAAATTTGGATTTTTTTTTTTTGGATTTTGATTGAGGAGGGGGTATTTTTGTTTTAAATGCAGAATTTAATGGCTTTTTTTTTTTTTTTTTCGGTTTTTATATGATCTTATGTTTTTGTCCCTTTGGTGTTCTTGTAGTAGTTTGGAAAGATAACATTTTCTGATTGGTTGGCTTCTATTTTTATTGGACGAGGAGTTATATGTTTCATTACAGATTGCACTTGTGCAGAGGAAAAAATAAATAATAATACCGTTTAGTGGTCATGTGGTTATTGTAAATACTCGGATAAAATACCCCTTTGTTTTATTATTTTATGGCCCATTGAATATTGTCTTGTCATATTTTGGAGTACAAGAAAATTTGAAGTTTTTTGGTTATATTTCTCCAAGCTATTGACTTTCTTTGATGAATTTCTTGTTCATTTCAATGTGGGTGGATTGATGATGATTTCTTATTTGACACTTTTTGTGCTTTTCTTTCGTAGACGATGATGACAACTTGAAACTCCAGCTTAAGGATATGGCATTAGAATTTTCATGGCCAATTGGTAGAATAAAAGAAGAACTGCCCGGCTTGGGTTGTCCTGATTCATCAATAGCAACCTCATGCTCAATTGAGGCAGCGAAAGTACTTGCAGCTCTAGTTGAGGAACAAAATATTCCAGAGGCAAAGATCACACTTGCTTCTGGAGTGTCAGCTTTTCTTTGGTTGTACACATCTATCCAAGGGTATGCTTCCATTTATTTGTTTGTGTGGTAGAAATTTTTGTCTTTTTTAGTTTGAACTTTTATTTGATTCAATATATCTTCTTTATAATGTGTCAGATATAAGCCTGCCACGATAGTTGTCACTTCTGAGCTTCCTATAGGTTCAGGTTTGGGGTCCTCTGCTGCATTTTGTGTTGCACTCTCTGCGGCTTTGCTTGCGTTTTCGGACTTGGTAAAGATAGATTTGAGCCACCAAGGATGGGTAATGTTTGCGGAAGATGAACTTGATCTGCTAAACAAATGGGCTTTTGAAGGTGAAAAGATAATCCATGGAAGGCCATCTGGAATTGACAATACTGTGAGCACTTATGGTATTCTATCTTTCTTCTTTTCCTCTCCTTACTTTCCTTGCTTTAACATCTGAGTAACTAGGAAATACGAGGCATTTAGCACCTGAAATGAGTAGACTGTTGTCTGCCTGGATCACTTTGAAGATTCGTTAAAACACGATCTTGTCAACAAGCTATAGCTTATAAGTGTTAGGCAAGTGCTAAGTCGTTATACGAATGCATCTCAAAGCAAAATTTCTGAATCCTTATGGAAATGAGTTCCCCCATCACTCTTGCATCTTGTTTATATCTACCGCATTGCTTATTAAAGGCAATTACATAAAGGAACAATGTTCAGGAAATCCTTGGAACTGATATGAAGACATGCAGATGCATTCTTTTAGGAAAAACGAAAATGCGGAAAAACTTTTCGTGTATGGACATGAATGAGATCAGACTATGCATTTTGAGGCATATAATCTCATCAAAGAAACTTATATGTAACTATGGATTTTGTAAATGACTTGAATGTAGCAAATCAAAGTAGTGTTCTGGGCATATCCTAGAATGAGTAATGAGATTGGCTTCTAGGCTTATTGTTTCACCGCCTTCCTTCTGTTTATAGAAACCATTTTGACTTTGTAAACTAGGGTTCACTTCGAGGCGGATAAAAGTATATATAGATAGCTAGGTGGATTATGGATAGACGGGATTAATGTAAAATGGCAAGGAATTTGGCAGAATAACAAGAAAAACGAGACTACATTTACACTTGTTATCAAATGCAGGAGAATCCATATGGGTGTTAATAGTAAAGAGTTTCACCAACCCTTTAAGCAGTGAGCAATCCTTTGTTAACGCATGACACCTTGTGCAAAACAGGTAACCTGATCAAGTTCAGGTCGGGGAGTTTGACACGCATCAAGTCCAATTTGCCCCTCAAAATGCTCATCACAAACACAAAAGTTGGAAGAAACACAAAGGCTCTAGTAGCTGGCGTCTCTGAGAGAACCTTAAGGCACGCAAATGCCATGAGTTTTGTGTTCAACGCTGTAGATTCGATTAGCGAGGAACTAGCCTCAATTATCCAGTCACCCATTGGTGACGACCTGTCAGTGCCTCAGAAGGAAGAGAAGATAGAGGAGTTAATGGAAATGAATCAAGGTTTGCTCCAATGCATGGGGGTCAGCCATGCTTCAATAGAAACTGTTCTTCGAACGACATTGAAGTACAAATTGGCTTCCAAATTGACAGGAGCTGGTGGTGGAGGATGTGTTCTGACACTCTTGCCCAATTGTATCCTCTTTTCCTTCATTTATTATCCTACTTAATAGTATTAGTTTCACATTTTTTAGTTAGATTAATCCTTTGACTGGTTTTTAAACTGTGACAAGAATATCATTTTAATCTAGAGTTTTAAATTCAAGACGAGAGCTCTAAACTTAGTAAAAGCTCCCTATTAGCTTTTCCCTAAAACATTTGCGTACTTACCTATTGGTCCTAAACTTTGATAAAAGTATCATTTTAGTCATAGATTTGTTGAAAATATTGAGGACGTCTATTGGGAAACTTGCGACTAGGGATTTTACAACTACAGATGCTAAAAAGAAAATAATTTCATGGTAGACTATTGAAGCAAACTTTTTCAGCTCTGTCCTTAATTTCTTATTTTGGGATGATTCTTTTTTCTTAACCCATGAATCAGTACTATCAGGTACGATTGCTGACAGAGTAACATCTGATCTGGAGTCATCCGGGTTCCAGTGTTTCACTGCTGGAATTGGAGGAAACGGTGTTGAGATTTACTTGGGTGGTTCATCCTGATTTTTTTCAGTGGAGTAAGTTCAAGCTATACTGTCAACCAATAATTAAGATGCACAAATTGCTACCGTCCTTGTTACCGCCTCTGTTTGTACACCAATCTGTTGTAATTTTGATTCTGACTGTTGAGTTGATTTAAACAGCATTTTCCTTGTTGGCCATCCGTTTTACAAAGTAATTTCTCATTTGTACCACACAGCAACCTCGCAAGTAACACTTGATTATAATTAAGAGAGTCGCATCATCTTATGGATTAAATTAAGATTAAGACCATCCTCGGGTTCAAGACTTGAGATTCATAATTAAGCAAGTTCTTAAGAATGATAATGAAAAGTCTTAAACTTATTGCTTATGCAGTATTGGGAGTCTCATATGTGATGGGCTCTGGGATCCAGAGATTTCGGATGTCCAAAAAACACCAACATATTATTAAGCATAAATAATAATAACATATTATGTTCACACCTGGGCACACCCTTTTTCTCCCTCTTTTCCTGTAGATATCCATCTGAAAAGCAGCTGAGCTATATTTACACATGTGCATTACCAGTTTAGACGCTTTACAGACTACTTTTATTGCAACACTACAAGACACATCCCCACATATATATCTCTCTCTCTATATATATATTTATGTATATACGTATTCATTATTATATAATATATATATGTGTGTGTGTGTGTGTGTGTGTGTGTGTGTGTGTGTAATATATATATTTATGTATATACGTATTCATTATTATATAATATATATATATATGTGTGTGTGTATACAAAATGCCACAAACCAGCATAAGAAACTCTTAGCAGACGTCTTCAACCATTAACTATAGCCCCACCTGCCAAAACAACACAACCAAGAAACGAATGAGTAGAAAACGCTACAATGCCAAGAGTAATACAAATTACATGAGTAGAAAATAGCAACCCACCATTAGGATGGATAACTTGGCCAGTTATGTAAGAAGAGCAGTGATTGCAGGCAAGGAAAACATATGAAGGTGCAACCTCAATAGGCTGGCCAGCTCGTTTCATGGGAACTTCTGAGCCGAACTTTGCCGTTTCCTCCTCACTGAAAGAGGCCGGAATCAGCGGAGTCCATACCGGCCCGGGAGCTACACCGTTAACACGAATTCCTCTCTCCACCAGATGAAGTGCAAGTCCTCTGGTGAAGGCCACTATGGCACCTTTTGTGGCCGTGTAATCCAACAGCTCCGGACTTCCCTTGTATGCCACTATTGTTGTGGTGTTTATTATGGAACTCCCTTGCCTCATATGCTTCAAAGCATGCCTAAAATAATGATCATTTTTTGCCTTTCACATTAGAGATTATAGATTAGCTATAATCAAAAACCAAGTTTCTTATGTAATGTCAAAAAATCTATGGTTCATATTTACTAGTGTGAGACTGAAAATCACCTTTTAAATAAATATCTTTTAAGACTGAAAAAATTAATAATTTTTGTGTTTCATGCTACAAAATTGGTAATCATTATAATGATGTCAATTCTTTCTACTCGGTAAAACATTTTAAATTGTTTTTGCTATGTTCCAAATGAAATGGTAAACTATATGCCATAATATATGTCTTTACTTGACCATGAAGAAGTGAGCGAAAATATTGGTCCTGAAAACCCTCTCGAGCCGGTCCTCAGTGATCTCATCCAGAGTGGGAGTGGTGGTCTTGTACTGCTCAGCGGCGTTGTTGACGAGAATATCGATGCGGCCGAAGATCTCGACCACCTCATCCACAACCTTCTTGCAGTTTATGTCAAAGCCAAGATCAGCTGCTATTCCAATGGGGTCCTTGGCCTCTGGGGTCTTTGATTCTCTGAGGATTCTTAGCGTGTCCTGAGCATCTTTGTCCTCATGACCCTTCACATACGTGAAGGCCACGGTTGCTCCCTCCAGAGCAAAGCAGTGGCACACTGCTCGGCCAATCCCCGAGTCCCCACCAGTCACCAACGCTACCTTTTCCTGCAAAATTGTATCCGCATGTTATTTCGATTCATATTTCTGATAGGGCGTGCCAATTTGAATTCGACGCAGTAATACTACTCTAAACTTGATTGCCACGAAATTAAGTTTGATTTATCAAAATTTTTGTTAAAAATATTAGAAAAGTATTTTAAAAGATTTAATTTAAATAAAATGAGAAACGTGAAAATGTAAGATTTGTGGAAATATAAAGTAGAAGTATAGATAAGTTGCTTAAATGAGTAAATTAACACGCCTTCTTTATACTATAAATTGTGATAATACGAATCTGATTGACATGCATTTTCATGAAATGAGTAAAACCAACTCGAAATTTGGATCGTCCGAATTGCCACCGTAAATTATGCATGCATGCACAGTATTGAATCGATTCCTTTTAATGAATAGATCCGATCGCAACTTCAAATATGGAATTTAAAGAGACAAAATAAGAAATGATACTCTGAATCATAGAATTATAATTAAATATACGATCAATCAACATTTATCAAATTTGAAAAAGAGTAAAAGAAATGGTTCAATCCTCTTATTTTTATTTCCCGAGCTGAGAGGACTGTACTAAAGTTCCATTAATATGGTTAGAGACTATAGTACTGAAAGCGCACATGGACAGAGTTCCCTTTATTGTTTCCTTAAATATTTACTTTTCAAGAAAATGAAAATCAAAATGCTGTTAGTTTTCTTTAGAAAGGTGAAATTACATACTCTGAGCTTATCAGAGGGCTTATAGTGTGGGCTTGTGAACTGGGGAGTAGGTTCCATGACATGCTCTTTCCCGGGCTGCGTTTCCTGCCTCTGAGGAGGGAATTGCTGCCCATCTGAAGCCATTCTCTGAAATATTCCTACACAACTTTTTTTTGGTCTTGTGGGTGGAGTTTCTTGAAAGTTAGGCAGTTTGGTGGAATGATTTGTTTGGGAACCAAATGAAAGGATTACTTGTCAAGGCGCTTGAGGACAATACTAACCTAGAAAGAAGCATATATTGAGTTGAGAAAATGTGGTTAAAAGATGGAGTCACAAATAGGAGAGTCTGAGGCTACCTTTCCCTGCAAAATTGTATCCGCATGTTATTTCGATTCATATTTCTGATAGGGCGTGCCAATTTGAATTCGACGCAGTAATACTACTCGAAACTTGATTGCCACGAAATTAAGTTTGATTTATCAAAATTTTTGTTAAAAATATTAGAAAAGTATTTTAAAAGATTTAATTTAAATAAAATGAGAAACGTGAAAATGTAAGATTTGTGGAAATATAAAGTAGAAGTATAGATAAGTTGCTTAAATGAGTAAATTAACACGCCTTCTTTATACTATAAATTGTGATAATACGAATCTGATTGACATGCATTTTCATGAAATGAGTAAAACCAACTCGAAATTTGGATCGTCCGAATTGCCACCGTAAATTATGCATGCATGCACAGTATTGAATCGATTCCTTTTAATGAATAGATCCGATCGCAACTTCAAATATGGAATTTAAAGAGACCAAATAAGAAATGATACTCTGAATCATAGAATTATAATGAAATATACGATGAATCAACATTTATCAAATTTGAAAAAGAGTAAAAGAAATGGTTCAATCCTCTTATTTTTATTTCCCGAGCTGAGAGGATTGTACTAAAGTTCCATTAATATGGTTAGAGACTATAGTACTGAAAGCGCACATGGACAGAGTTCCCTTTATTGTTTCCTTAAATATTTACTTTTCAAGAAAATGAAAATCAAAATGCTGTTAGTTTTCTTTAGAAAGGTGAAATTACATACTCTGAGCTTATCAGAGGGCTTATAGTGTGGGCTTGTGAACTGGGGAGTAGGTTCCATGACATGCTCTTTCCCGGGCTGCGTTTCCTGCCTCTGAGGAGGGAATTGCTGCCCATCTGAAGCCATTCTCTGAAATATTCTTACACAACTTTTTTTTGGTCTTGTGGGTGGAGTTTCTTGAAAGTTAGGCAGTTTTGTGGAATGATTTGTTTGGGAACCAAATGAAAGGATTACTTGTCAAGGCTCTTGAGGACAATACTAACCTAGAAAGAAGCATATATTGAGTTGAGAAAATGTGGTTAAAAGATGGAGTCACAAATAGGAGAGTCTGAGTTGGACACGTTGTGACACGTGGCATCACGGGTGTCAACGTGGCCGGTTACTTTCGTGCAAGTGGACACATCTGTGCAAACGACAATATTATCTTAGGATGAGGATGGAAGGAAAGGCCTATCTGGATTCATCCTCTAAAGCTTTGGAATTTGAGCCAGTACAGCAAGTACATTCCTAGTTCTAGTTGTAAAGCAAGATTTTATTAATATTTGTTTATTTCTAATTTAATTTTCTAATGTTGTGATTTTAGTAAACTTCCCTGATCCCTAAGAATCTTTTTACCTTTTTACCTTTGGTTTCCTAGCTCCAACTTCTGTTGCGGTCCTGTTGTGTTTGTCTTTTTCTGTTTAAATACCATCTATATGACCAACAGTAGGATAAGATTGCAACGACAGTACTGAACAATTAACACTCTTACATGGAACATGCACCAAAAGGAAGAACCGGGATTAATGATTCATGATTTTCTGTTGTTTTCTTTCTTTCCTTCTTTTTTTTCTCTTTTTGGTTTTCATTTTTCGAGTCAAACAGTGGAGGGGGGGTCATAATGTACGAATATCACAAGATCAAAATCTTGTCATTTCCATCAGAAAATGGACATATTATTACGCCAAAACATGGATAACACATTTCACTCTCTCTCTTTTCCATCTCTAGAGAAACTGAGCAACATATAGGCCAGCCATCACCTGGCCTGATGCTTTATTACTGCATTCTTATCCAAAAAGACTTGACAACTTTACATAACACGATTGATTCCACAAGACAAAATAAATAGCAAAACAGAACAAAAAACTCTCTTCAACCTCTCACTACCTCAAGCATTCACTATAGTCCCACCTGCAAAATTAAAGCAGGAAAATATTAAAAGAAAAGAAAAGGCAAGAAAAAGGAATGTAGTAAACTTTTAAGGGGGGTTTTAGTACAATTGCCCTGTGTCCTGCACTTGTCGTGGTTTAGCAAATTTACCCTAAAACTTTTAATTATGGTAATCAACCCTTGAACTTGCTTGAACACATTTCACAAACTACCGTTATAAAACTCACGGAATTAACGTATTGTTGGTATTATTACTTCAGAATTAGGCATCCTTTTTAATATACCGCTGATATGTTATATAGGAACTCACCATTAGGGTGAAGGACTTGGCCAGTTATGTAGGAAGAGCAGTGATTGCAGGCAAGGAACACAAATGAAGGTGCAACCTCAATAGGTTGACCAGCTCTCTTCATAGGTACTTGGGAACCGAATTTTGCAGTTTCTTCTTCGCTGAAAGAGGCCGGAGTCAATGGCGTCCATATTGGCCCTGGAGCGACGCCGTTGACACGTATGCCTCGGTCGACCAGGTGAAGCGCAAGGCCTCTGGTGTACGACACTATAGCGCCTTTAGTGGCCGTGTAGTCCAGCCACTTGGCGTTGCCCTTGTATGCGTTGACTGATGTTGTATTGATTATGGAGCTCCCCTCCTTCATGTGCTTCAAAGCATGCCTATAATATATACATCACATGAAATTAACTTATGAATTAGTGGACGAAAATAAATATTGCTTGCAATAATTAACATTCGCACCCGTTATTATTTTCAATAATAACACACAAAATGCGCGTGTTTTTTTTTTTTCCCCCTGTTAGGCAGAAGTAAGATTCGGTGATTTTGGAAAATGGTGGAGGATTTCTAGGGGATTACAAAAAAAACCAAATTTTTTGGCAGAAAAAAGGCCTTTTCTGGTAATGTCATGTATACTAAACTAACTAGATAAATCAAGTGCTTATATTGGTTTATACATTAACGGTAAATCTATCATTTATCAAAATGGAAAAAAAAAGCCCATATATTGAACTAAATTTCGCAATAAAATATGATATGTCAACTTGTGCTTGCATAATCTAGTTAGAGAACCAAATTGTAGATGAAGATAATAAAATTTGTAGGTTTTAGTATGGCATGTAAAATGACAGCAGGTAAAATGGCACAGATCATGAAAGAGCAAGTGAAATTCTATGAAATTATTATGCAGCACAGATATTTTACAATACTTTCCATGTAAATGACATGCAAAATTGTACCCAATATCATCATCACCACAAAAAATAAAAAAGAAATGAATTTATAAATACGTGACTAGTTAATAAATCTTGTAATATCTAACTACACTTGATATTATTTATTTAAAAAATATAAGAAAAAATAAATAAATGTTTTGCCTTACAGTGAAGAAGTAGGAGAAAATATTAGTCCTGAACACCCTCTCAAGCCTCTCCTCGTCAATGTCTTCCACAGAGGCAGCCTTGTACTGCTCAGCAGCATTATTAACCAGAATATCAATTCTTCCATAAGCATTAACCACTTCATCCACAACTTTCATGCAATTTCTGTCATACCCCAGATCAGCTGCCACTGCCATGGGGTCCTTGGCATCTGGGGTCTTGGATTCTCTCAGAATTCTCAGTGTGTCCATGGCGTCTTTGTCCTCCTCACCCTTCACGTACGTGAATGCCACCGTTGCGCCCTCTAAGGCGAAGCAGTTGCACACCGCCCGCCCGATCCCGGAGTCTCCGCCCGTCACCAGCGCTATCTTCCCCTGCACATATTAACACCATGATTGCAGTAATTTGTTCAATGACACTGCTAGAGACAATGTTGATAGTTTTACTTTGTATTAGTAGTGCAAGTATTGTAGTTCAATTATTGAGATGTTCGAAAACACGCACCCCTGCACCCACGCACTACACCTATAAACTCAAACAAAAATAATAGAAAAATAGAGAAGATAAAGATTTAAATGGTTTAGAAAATTTCCAAATGTCTTACAAACAGAAGATGAAAAAAAATCAATTAACAGTTTTAGAATTACACACTCATACAAATTTCTCACTTTCTCTACCCAATACCCAAAATCCCTTACACACTTGTCTATCTCTCTCACTTTTCACTCTCTCAAAAGGTGTCACTATTTTTTTACACTTTTCTTTGAACATATCTTTTTTTTAACACATAAAGCTACAAAAGGATTATTTATAGACTCTAATAACCCTTGCCCAAAAATATAAAACATTAACTTACCCAAAAAAACACAAAATAGTAACTTTTCTAAAACCAATATGAGTCACCCACCTAACAACAGATGTAATATTGGAACTTTGAATTTTTTGAATTCTTGCAACATAAGTAGACTGTATGTTAACAAAAATGTGGCATAAATCGGAACTAAAAAAAACAGCCGTATAAATCTAAAACATATAAAAAGAATGGCATCCAATCTATTGCCCAAAAATATAAAACATTAACTTACCCAAAAAAACACAAAATACGCAAAATACGTAAAATAGTAACTTTCTCAAAACCAATTTGAGTAAGTCACCTACCTAACAGATGTAATATTGGAACTTTGAATTTTTCGAATTCTTGCAACATAAGTAGACTGTATGTTAACAAAATGTTGCATAAATCCAAACCACGAAAAAACAGCCGTATAAATCTAAAACATATAAAAAGAATGGCATCCAATCTAATTTTCTATAAGGTTATTCTTAAGTGACACTAAATGAAATGTAACCATTAAACGGTTTGAGATTAATAAGGTTGATTATTGTTTTTTTTTTCTTTCAAGATTTACAGGTCCAGCGAAGAAAGGAAACAATAACTAAACTAAAAAAAGTAAAATAAAATAATAAAATAAAATAAATCCGAGTGAGTTTTAGATGATCACGCACGCTAGTTTTAACTCTCCATGTGGGCTATTCTTTATATTGCTATACTTATATTGTTCAGATGAAAGTGACACCAATGAAATACTTCCAAGGTTTGGTTTTGACTTTTGACATAGACCAGTTTCGAAGTGCCCCCTGCTAATGTGGTTTGTCAGATTCAGAAGTACAAACACAAGTCAAAATTTTGAAGCACGAGGATACGTCCATATAACAATTTTCGCATGCATATAACCCAAAAAAAAAAAAAGTCTCACTAAGAGAATTACTGCAAGTGAAATTATAATAAAGGGGTTGAAATTATATTGTACTTGGAGCTTATTAGAGGGCTTATATTCTGGAGCTGAGAACTGAGGATTTGGGTCCATGACATGCTCTTTCCCTGGCTGTTTCTCTTGCCTTTGTGGAGGGAATTGCTCTCCTTGTGAAGCCATTCTTCTCTCAAACACTCATCTGGGATATTTCTTGATCTGGGTCAAATGGAAAACTTCCTGAAAGTCACAATTCTGGTGTTGTTTGAGGTGGATTTTGGAAGGAGAAGAAGACCAAAGATTATTATACAGAAGTGATCGGGTTGTTAAGACTCTTGAGGAACTCAACACCCTACAAAACATGTGGTGAATACAAGTAACGATGTTTTGAGGGTGTTTTGGCTAAATGGGTTTATATTAAGATTTGGAATTGGTCATTGTTTTGGTACGTGGCAGAACATGAGAATGTCATCGTGTCATGTCACTCTCAGGCAGCGACACGTCGTAGAGATGAACTTTTTGTTCGAGTCATAGGAGATATCAAAAATCAAAAATCAAAAACTGAAACAATTTGGTTTGCAAAAAGTTCTTAATTGTTGAAGTAGGTGGATTGTGGCACATTTGCTGTCACATCTTTTCTGTTTTTTTTTGTAGTTTTTTGAAGCAAAGTTATTAATGAGGGTATGGTGTATGGTACGGGAGAGTGCCTTACTTCTGTGGACAAAATCTTTTTTATTTGTTTTTGTTTTGTTGAAGACCACGTCTTCTTGCTCTATCTGTCTCTCTCCATATATGTACTTATAATGTATTGAAGTCACTGTAGAAAGCAGAAAACACAAGTTGCTATTCATTTTTTGCTCT